CAGCATGGCCGTCAGCTCGGGATCTGACACGGGCAACGCTGGCACTCCCGAAGGGGGCAACGCAGCCGCATCTTCCTCTCCCGAGGACTCAAGCCCGCCTAGTGATGCAGCGATAGACATCACATCATCATCTGGAGCGCAGATGCAGCCGGCGCCGCCGAAGAGACAGCCGACTGAATCGAGCTGGCGCTCGCTGGCTCACGCACTGAGGCGGGAGGTGTGGCCCGAGGAATCGTCGGGGCTCTATCCCACACCGTCACCGTTAGATCGCCGGGTCGACGGGCCCCCTTTCGTGAAGGAAGCCGATCGAGTAGGGGGGACCGGGGCTCTCACTCTAGTGAGATCATTGAGCCTCGACCTCAGTGTGGAGATGGTCATGCTCCCACAGAAGGAACATGAGTCATCCACGAACGCTGCTGCTGCATGCTGAATGCCCAGGCATACAAAGCAGCGTTCGTGACCATCAGATGATGACAGAAATCTACCACATCCAGAAGGGCACGGGCGAACCATCTTTAAAAAGACGTGCCGCGTGCAGCTCTTTCACTTTCACTTTTATGAGAAAGGAGAAATTCACTCTTTCAGCGCTGAAGCTACCAGGGAGAAGTGCAAAGTCTGGCAGACCACTGCTCAGATCGCAGGCAATGCAAAATCTCGCTGGGTACCGCCGTCACACCAACACTGAAGAAGACGCTCGTTCTCGAAGAGTCTTGAATCAGCTTTTAGGAGTGAAGAGGTTCTTCGCCGATCTTGGAACGCACTTGGAACGCCGATCCAAGTGCGCTGGTGAGATGTGAATAAGGTGAGCGCGAACAGTAGGCTACGTGTACATATTGAAGAGAAGAAAATGGTTCGTGTTTGTGTTTCTTCCGGAAACAACGGACCATATGAGATTCTGCTCAGTTCAGCGCACTTGGATCGGCGTTCGTAGATCGACTGGTAGAGACTATTTTTCAAATATGGCTTCTTCCTGTATTTGCGAAGTTGATTGTGTGTATAAAATATCTTATAAAATATATTCTCAATGCTTCGGTTTCAATGTAGAGACCCTTATTATGCTACCGTGTTACTGGGGCTATTTTGAGCCTTGTTAGTGGTAATAACAAGCGATTTTTATTTGCCATTACTCTATGCCCTATATACTAGCGTTATACTAGCGTTATAGGCTAAACTGTTTTTATAGATAAAACTATTTACATTCTGCAATCATGAAAACAAATCTCGGATAACGGTTGACTAGGTAACAATGTGTAATCAGACCAAAGGTTTATTTTGCGCCGGAGTTCTCCTTTAAACATCTACAGACACTCAAGTCTCAGTTAAGCTCAACCACGCAAAAAGGCCATAAGTAAACCAATATGTTTCAAAAAGGGCTTATCAATATAGCGGATAAATACAATAATATTAAGTCAAACGAATTAGTGCAAGTCTACTTGCACTATAGACGCGTTGCCATGGTGATGAGCTGGCCCAAAGTTAACTTCCGTTCTGTTCGTTTATTAGTGTTTACTGGATAATATGGCATTGACTACAAATGCAGTGAAAGTTAAGGTGATGAGCAGGTGAGCAAAGTGAGACCTAGTGAGCCAACGCAATTTTTAAAAATAAAAATGTCAAAGTTTCCTATGATGGAGACAGCGGTATTAAAATAGCCTAGCTATGTTTATCTGAGTGATAACCGGTAGGCTACAGTGTTTCGCATATTCTCTCTCTCTCTCTCTCTCTCTCTCTCTCTCTCGCAAACACATTGACAGCGGACCAGTCTGTGTATTGAATGGTTAGTATCATAAACAGCGCTGCACAGATCCATCCAACATGCTGTCAATGTGGAGACCCACCTTAAAAAAGGTTAGCAAGCATGTAAGAAGCCTAGCTAATAAGGAGAGCTATGTTAACCTTATCAAACCCCGCCGTCGCCCTCGCCACAGTTTTTTTTTTAACACTGCGGTAAATCAGACACGTCGGTAGAAAAACATCATGTCTCCAATTTTTGTTCAACGGGTCTGGTAGTGTCACATTTCAGTTTGGCCAGATAACATTTATTTTCTTTGACTGGCAAGAAATACCAGCTACTAGGTTATTTACTTGTTATGGATTGTCTCCGCAAGTCTGCCGGAAGTTAAGTTTGGGCCAGATTAATGCACATGCGCAGTACCAGTACGCCTCATCAGCGTCTGTAGTCATCCTCATCTCATAAGTCAAATACATGCAGCAACTACCTGCTAATGCACTCACATTCATGTAGTAAAGTAGCAATGTTGACAAATTGAGTAAGGGCAAAATGCACAATATATAGTGCCTTCAATGCCCTTAGATGGCAATATCACTTCTTTATAGCAGAAATAAACTGGTGCAGAAAACGTTAGGTGCCATGCAAAATGTAATGTGTACTTGTATTAATCATTACAAACGTATTGCAGTAAAAATAATATTTACTTGTTCAAAACTTTAGTCAAGTAGAGAGTAAAAGTTGCTAAAATTTGATACTCATGTAACACTTTAGAATACGGTTCCTTCATTAATGACACAAGAACACAATATTAACAATCTAGTAAATATTATTAACTAACAAGAAACTCTGATTAACGAACTAGTAAATAATAGCGCACAGATGAAAGTGGTACTTCACTATAAAATAATCAATAACTACTATTTTATACTACTACTTTAATAACTACTACTAATGCTCCCCAGAGAACTACTGAAAAAGTTTATAAACAATCTAGTAACTAATATTAACTAAAAAAAACTGATTAACGAATTAGTAAGTAATAGCTCACTAAACGTCTTACTTTTATGGGAATTACTAATTATCATGGGATCATGGGAGCTTACTAGTAATGACTCAAATGTTACTACATACTTCTAAAGAAATTTTCTAAAAGTATACTAAAGTTCAAAGTCCAAAATCATGACTAGATCATGTAGTAAAGGCCCATGACTAGATCATTAAAAAAATTGTAGGCCTAGTTATGGATTAGTTAATAGTGAACTACCACTTTCATCTGTGTGTTATTACTTACTAGTTCGTTAATCAGTTTCTTGTTAGTTAATAATAGTTACTAGATTGTTAATATTGTGTTACTCATTGGTTCTTTTGTAGTTATTCATTAACTAAGGAAACGTTCTAAAGTGTTACCGATACTCAGTACAACTAGAAAGTAGCCAAAAATATACGTATGTACAGTAACTAATTACATTTACTCAAATACTATACACCACTTATTGTTCACCTTTTTGAACATCATTCAGTCATGTCTTTTGATTGCATGTAGTATTTTGATGTAATATTAATGCTGGAAGTATTAGTGAATGCAGCTTTAGCCAACTTAAATTCAGTATTTCAACATGGTAAAAAAATTACTTTCTTTATGTATTTCTCATGTCAGATGTACCTTTCTCTTGTGAGCAAACTTAGATTCATCTATGGCCACAAACTTCTGTCTTGACTTCCCGCCAACTCTAAGACCTGTTTTTCTTTTCAGTTTCCGCAATGCATTAATGCAAACCTGTAAATAATGTGGCCATATAATTAGTAAACAAAATTACTGTTCAATTAGCTGAGCAATGTAATGCTGAAGAGTTATTAAATTTAAGCTACCTTGCTGAGCAATTTGTTCATTCTGGACAACGTTGTTGATGTTTTGGCAACACAGTCTTCCATCAAATCAATTTGTCTTAGATGTAGACCCTGGGAAAACCTTTAAAGAAAATAATTTTGATTAATAAAAAAACAATAACCAAAATGTAGTGATGTACAAAAAAGACGATCAGAAAAAAAAAATATTAATTTAAACAGTAATACATGTTGTTCTTAAAGTTGTTTTAGGTAGTAATAGCTAGTTGTTTTAATACATGTTGTTCTTAAAGTTGTTTTAGGTAGTAATAGCTAGTTGTTTTAGGTGATAAACAAGTTTGAAACAATGTTTTTTATGGAGTAGCCTACGTACAGTAGGTGGTATTTCATCGCAAACTTCTATTACATACTAATGTGGATAGTTGAACATTAAATCCTGAATGAATTAGTGGCTTAGGTTTGATTTTGAAATTGGTGGGGATGGGCACATCAATTAATAAATATATTTTAAGTTTTGATCAAAATTATTGCAAGGGATATATCAGTGTCACTGGATATTGGTAGGGACACGTAACTAGCGTCCCTACTAAATTCTACGCCCCTGCAGTAAATTATTTTCATGCTTTTGGAGAGGACCTTGGAGAGCATTTGCGGTATGAATTGCAAATTCTGCTTGTAACAACTAACTTAACCATAGTAAGTAGCTATCTTATTGCTTTATATCATGTAGGTTACAAACCTTGTTAATATGTTACATGTACTATAGTATTTTTAATTATGCATAATTTCATGGAACTAACCCTCAACCAACCCTAGCCTTATTCTATAGTAAGTACATGCACTTAATTAATATTACTCAGTAATTAAGTATATAATTGCAATGACACCGTAAAGTTTGTAACCAGTACCTGACTACTATACTGTACATTACCTGTATATGTACTCCATCCACTTAACCAGAGGAATCCTAGAATTATTGAATAGTGATCCCTTGCGAATGGAGAGTGTCATTCTGCGATGCGTGTTTCTTCGACATGTCCTAAGACAACAGTGCAAAATATTAGTAAATCTAAGAAGCAAATAGCCTAAAATTATGTTAACGTTAACTATTTAAATATAGCGAGTTAAACTGGGTGCCAAAAGTTACTTACCATATATAACCATCACGTCCACTGTGGGTTGTAATTCGCATTTTTTTTCCACAATGGTGACAAATTGGTGCTTTGCACAGCAAGCCTTTCCTCTGGAGCCATTTTATCCTTAATTTTCTATGCTTTCCACTGCCGCATAGACGTATTAATTTGTTTAATTTCCTTGAACACGTAGCCGCCATCTCGATTCTATCTAGATATATTGTCCGATTTAAAATTTTGGCGCCGTGCTGGTAAATGGCTGCCTACGATGAAACGTGACAGTTGTCCGATGACGTAAGTTAGTTTTGATTGGCCTGTTGCATTCTGAACCGCCAACTTATCCCATGTACCTATCAGGATTCGGGACTCGTCGTCACTCGGGAGAATTTCAACAGCAAACAGGTAACGTCGTTAACTTGCGTCCCCCATCTTTTTGCAAATACATCCACTTACATCCATTTACCTACATCCACACGTTTCATACATACTTCAAAGCGAATATTTCCACAGTATGCCACGAAAGAAAGGGGTTTCTTTGAAGAGGAACTGCCTCCAACGCAGCGCAACTGATGACATGGACCTCTTGGACAAAGGTAACTTAACATGTCGACCATTATGACCTAATGTTAGCTGGTCGTTCTAACGTTACTATGATTCTGTCAGCTTGTCACTAGGCCTATGTAATAATATGAACTTGCTAACATTCGACGTTCAATGCTTTCTTTTACACGTTTTTTGCAGTGTAGAATATAACCAATCAAACATGTTTTTGGTGAGTTTACGAACGCAATGTCCAATCAGAGACATTTTAATTAACGTTAGTTAACGCGTCTTCAAGGTTGCACGCGCTTACGGACTAAATTCTGAATTTTCAATTTTTATCATAAACAACATAACAGAAAAAATGCCGAAAAGTTGCAAGTAAGATTCATTTTGGGTAACTCGCATTAGACTGAAGTCATGGACCGCTTCCGTGTTTTTTGATCGCTTTCTTAATATAATAGCCATTCCCAGTTTGAATAACCATTTTGTTTTTCGTGCTAGTGCTACTAATATTATTTCAATATTGTCTTTATTTGTAATCCAAAAAAGCAATAAACAATTTCATTAACGGTTCTTGTTTTGTCTATAGCCTTTCCTCCATAAATTAATAATCGTTACAATTTCAAGAGACAACATTAACCATAATGATTTTCTCATAAAATTGCAACTTCCCCCTTATAATGACTTTATATCATGGTTATTAATCTTATGCAATGTACATGTAATTAAGTTACATGAACATCATTAAACAGTATTTGTAAATAAACATAAATGACATGTCAGTAGCTTCTGTTCCACCTTTGCAGTGTACAAAAATGGCTTTAATTAGTTGATGGTATCAGTAAAAATTTGTAGTATTGTGATTTAATAAACTATGATTGAATTTAAGTAGTTGATAAATGCAGATACACAGGTTTTAATAAGGTCAAACTGCCTCCTATAATTAAATAATTTTTAATGTCAAAATAAAAAAATAAAAAAACATATTTTCGGACTCTGTCATTTATTAGGAAAAACATTTTCACACTTTCTGTTGTTATTGACTTCCAAATAGTTACTAGTTGTTCACAAAGACTTGTTTTTATTGAAACATTTGTGTGGTCTTTGAATCCACTATGCTAAATCCCAACTTTGTTCTTTACAATAATTATATTTTATCTTTAGAAACACTACTGTGACTAAATACCTTACACATACTGATGTGGATTAACCATTACAGAAATTTAGAAAAATATTTAGGTAATCACCAACACTGTTAGTTTAGGGAAGCTGTCCCTGTTAGTTTAGGGAACAAACCTTACATTAGGTGGTAGTCTAATACATTTGTTATGCACTATATTTATGACAACACAGATTTTGCTAGAAATCTGATGATCATTGGATGCTATTTTGGAACATTAAGACTGGAAAAGCCTTTAATTATTGATAATGGGTTTTTGTGGACATAAAAACTATTAATGCAAGATAATGTCCATGTTTTTTTGGACTGGCGAAAGTATTTATTTAAGATGTCCAAGAGAAAGTTGATGATCATTGACCGTAGTTTTGGAACACTGAACCATGTTAGGAGCCTTTTCACGTTAAGTGTCTTAGAATGTTTGACTACAGTTGTCAGACAGTAACATTAACTATTTCCTTTAATGTTTTTACAAGCAGATGTGGCTCAGCATGAAGCACACCAAGGTAAAGTTGACGACAATGACTTTCCTATGGTTGCTGTGGCATCTCCTGAAGCAGGTGAGTTTGCATTTACTTAATGGGGAACTAAACAGGGCTGTGTTTCCCAAAAGTATCGCAAGCCTAACCATATGTTCACACTGCTGCCAGCGAGAGCGGCAAAATTCGCTCTCGCCGCCCTGCCAGCGACGCCGTGGAAAGATTTGTGGACGCTCTGGTGCTCTGACGTAGATCGAATGCGTGATCTTTTCTTAAACTTTTTTTTAAATGGGTCGCAAAGCAAACAAGCATGTCGATCGTTATTTTTGCAGAAAATTGAACGATGGAAATAACTTAAAAATTTCAGTGACATGTTTGCTAATGAAATAAACTAATTAAAAGCCATATGTGTGTGGTGTGGCTTTTGTGTTCATGGTTAAGTGCTATTATAATTTGGATTCCTGCTAAAAAAATGTTCTAGCATGAAATTCTTGCCTATGAATAGTGTCATGTGCCCTCTTATCAAATTCAAATGATCAACCTCCTCTATTTTGCTTGGAAACTAATGTGGTCGGAACTAAAGTTTACAGCACTGCGTTCTCTGGGATTCTCTCAAATGGAGCACTTCAACATTCCAATTGGTTGCTGCCAAACCACGTCATTGCTTATCACCATAAAGTTGAACTGACTTCAACTCTCACCAGCGGCCGTGTGAACGCAGATTAAGTTGATCATAGAGACCATTGGTGGCATTTTTTTTATTTTATTCTTTGAGATCAGCTGCTCTAGCTGAAGTCTTGTGCAGACCAGAGCTCTGACTCAAGCGAGCAAACCCATGGTAACTTCAGCCAGATGTAGCCTCCTTTGGGTTACCATGATTGACATGAGCCGCTAACTTGTTTCAAATCATGTAAAAACTTAGCCCATAGATACCATCATTCTGTGTTCACAGTAGGGCTGGGTGATATTCCAAAAACAACAAGAATTATGAAGCTCTCACTGAACTAATTTAAAAAAGGCAGCATGTGAGGGAACATAATTTATTTTGTGCAAGCCATGTTTCATGTGTGACATTTTCATGTGTGACATTTTCATGTGTGACCCTTTAACCAAAACTACAACAGACAATCACATTCTTGTTCCAATGTGTATATATGGGGCAATAAATACTTGATCTAGCACTGATGGCCATATTACACAAGGGAAACCCATTTGTATGATGGTACTGTCACAGTCACCAGCTCTATCACTACTGTACATCTCCCATCATCCTTCATGATCCCCACCTGCACTCAGGCAGCCATCACCACACCTGTTGCATATTACCACCTGATTACTGATGCACCACACCTGCACCAGCTCAACACCACCACCCTTCATAAACCTGCACGTCCCACCACTTTGGGTCTGGTCTTATCAGAGCCTGCGTGTCATGAATCGCGCCTCTGTGGCTCTCTCCGCTCAACCCAGAGCTCCGTCTCCTGAGTATTGAACTCCATTTCCCATAAGCCCCGTACCTAGTGCTGATTACCCAGACAGCAAACTGACATTGAATCAACGTGGAAACGACGTCTCTCATGACATTGAAACAACGTTGATTTGCTCATCGAATTAACGTTGAACCAACGTCAGACGCGGCATTCTTCAAAGCTAAATGAAATCGAAAATTAGTTTGCTTTCATAACGTTGAAACAACGCGTTGATTTCAAGTTGATTTTCCGTTAGTTTTGAAAGAATGACGCGTCTGAGGTTGGTTCAACGTTAATTCGATGAGCAAAACAATGTCAGATCAACGTTGTTTCGATGTCATATTTCCACGTTGATTCAATGTCAGTTTGCTATCTGGGTACCGGCACAGGTGAACTTCATTCACCGCTCTATATAAACAGCCCGCTGACTCTCTATCAGTGCGAAGTCTTGTTTTACCCCGGCGACATTTCTGAGCGGTTCTCTACCGATTATTCTGGATTCCCTGTGTATTGACCCTTGACTGTTATTGGACTTGATTCTCTGTTTGCTGCCTGCCCTGACCCTTGCCTGTTTCTTCTGGATCGCGATCATTGCCGCCTGTCCTGACCCCTGCCTGGTATCGTTTATGTTCTTGGACTGCCTGTTCTATGTTTGATGCTGATTGTTGACTCTTGCCTGTTTGACTACTCTTAATAAAGACACTGCATATGGATCTGCACGCCTCTGACCCTTCGTTACACTGCGTTTACACTTGGCATTAACGTGTGACCTGTATCCGGATGTTATTCATATATTGAAAAAAAAAAGTGTAAAAGCACTTCTGATCAGAATGTTATCCGATCAGCATGTCCAAGTCAGTAGGTAGTTGAGGACGCATTGTGATTATATATATAAATGCATCTCAGTGTAATATAAATGCAATCCAGCCATTGTGCCTGCATTCACTTTTGTACATCATAAAAAACTCCAGTCTTTATTCCCCCTCCTCTCTCCAGAAATTGCTGCACGTAGCTGTGTGGTTTTGCGATACTGTCGAGTGTGAAGCATATCGCAAAAATACTAAAATTGTTTGCTTTCATACCCTAAAGTTGCAAAACTACGGAGGCGTATTGCATTCACTTGAAGAAAAAAAAATATACTCTGTTTTTCTGAATTAACGAGTTAATTTTTCATGAGAAAAAAAAATTGCTGTTTTTCTGAATTAATGAGTTAATTTTTCCATGAGAAATTTTTTTTTTTTGCTCTGTTTTTCTGAATTAACGAGTTAATTTTTCATGAGAAATTTTTTTGCTCTGTTTTTCTGAATTAATGAGTTAATTTTTCATGAGAAAAAAAGTTTTTCTCTGTTTTTCTGAATTAATGAGTTAATTTTTCATGGAATTTTTTTTTTGCTCGGTTTTTCTGAATTAACGAGTTAATTCAGAAAAAAACAGAGCAAAAACTTTTTTTCTCACGAAAAATTAACTCATTAATTCAGAAAAACAGAAAAAAATGTTTTCTCATGAAAAATTAACTCATTAAATCAGAAAAACAGAGAGAAACTTTTTTTCTCATGAAAAATTAACTCATTAATTCAGAAAAACAGAGCAAAAAAAAAATTTCTTATGAAAAATTAACTCGTTAATTCAGAAAAACAGAGCAAAACAAATTTTCTCATGAAAAATTAACTCATTAATTCAGAAAAACAGAGCAATTTTTTTTCTCATGAAAAATTAACTCATTAATTCAGAAAAACAGAGTAGATTTTTTTTCTTCAAGTGAATGCAATACGCCTCCGTACAAAACGTCTCAGGTTACGACTGTAACCTATGTTCCCTGAGAACAGGGAACGAGACAATACGTCGAATGACGCAATGGGGAACGCCTCAGGCGTGACAGGTGTCTGAAATCAAATATCAACTCACAGTAATCAGGTTGACCGGCGACAGCCCGTGCATCATCAGCTTGAATGATGAGCGCGTCAATCTGGATGTATAAGAAGGGCGCCTTGAGACCGTGACAACATCCTATCGTCTGAAGGGACTGTTGCAGGCAGGCCCCGAGGCATGGCAACGAGACGTATTGTCTCGTTCCCTGTTCTCAGGGAACATAGGTTACAGTCGTAACCTGAGACGTTCCCTTTCGAAGGGAACTCAACAATACGTCGAATGACGCAGTGGGGAACGAAATACCCACTCCGCCATGCTGAGGGGAGTGCATGCCGAAAAGGCAGTGACAACTGTCAGAACCAGTAATTCCAAGGAACACTGAAACCACTCACCCTATGTTACATTGGGCTGTCAGTGACAGCACTCCCTACCGGTCATAGCCCAAGCTAATGAACCAAGAAAAACCAGAACGTAATAACGTGGGTAAATCGGGGCCAGCTCAAAGGCTTTAGGACCACAACTTCAAAATAGAAGGGGTCCCTTCTAGGGAGTGTGGCTAGGGGGCCAAAGGGACCCCCAGCCAGTCACTATTCAGGAGAACACTCCTCCTGAAATGCCCCCAGGCTGGCCTGGTGATCTGTACTAAGACACACAGTCTGGCCATAGCCTGTCCGTCCAAGACAGAGCCTCTGGAAATTGCCTAGGAAAGGCATCCAAAAACTGAAGGCCCGCGAAGCTGGCAGAAACCATCAAGTTTCGGATCACAGAGACGGGATCCTCCGGAGAGTGTGACTCAACCTCAAAACAACGGGAATCGTACACTCAATCCACGAGTTTCCACCCAGTGCTCGCTTTGAGCACTGAGGAAGTAAGAGAGGGATCAAAATCAGGAAGGTCAATGAGACCTAAGACCTGATGACCCCCTGTGTGGGGAGCTCTGAAACATGAGGGCTCATGTCAGGAAGGCCGTACACTGTGCGGCCTGAAACCCAACGACCACAGCATGTGGAAGCTCATCCTTCAGGAAAGCCAGAGGCTAGAAACCTGACAGACCCACAATATGGGGCTACCTCGAAACAGGTCTAATGAGACCTAAAACCACCAGTTGTGGGAGATAGCTTGAAAAAGGGAAGTGCCTGTCGTAATGTATTGCGACAAAGACACATCTAGAGTGGGACCCAAAGTGAAGAACCGGGGTCTGAACCACATAAGAAGGGACCGAAGCATACTGCGCGTGACCCTCACCATAAGAAATGGATTTTAAAAAAGTGCACAAGACATCTCGTCGGGTGACTTAGCACAATAATAGGTGAAGTATGGGTTTGTGTACTTCACTCTGAATTCAGGAAGGCCCGTTGAGGCCTGTAACCTGGCGACCACAGTGTGTGGGAGCTCATGGCCAGGAAGGCCTGGTAAGGCCTGTAACCTGGCGACCACAGTATGCGGGAGCTCGTAACCTGGCGACCACAGTATGTGGGAGCTCATAACCAGGAAGGCCTAGTGAGGCCTCTAACCTGGCGACCACAGTGTGTGGGAGCTCATGACCAGGAAGGCCTGGTAAGGCCTGTAACCTGGCGACCACATCCGGTGGCAGCTCGTACTCAGGAAGGTCAGGGAGACCCAGCCTGGTGTACCTGAAAAACCACACCAAGTGGGAGCTACTTCGAGAAGTTAGCTCTTAAGAACTCTTAAAGTGGGACCCGAGGAAAGACCGGGGTCTGAGCCACATAAGAAGGGACCGAAGCATACCGCGCGTGACCCTCACCATAAGGAATGGATTTTAAAAAGTGCACAAGACATCTCGTCGGGTGACTTACCACAATAATAGGTGAAGTATGGGTTTGTGTACTTCACTCTGAATTCAGGAAGGCCGAACTTGAGGCCTGTAACCTGGCAGCCACAACAAGTGGGAACCCATAATCAGGAAGGCCTGACAATGCCTAACACCCGATAGTCCCAATGCATGGGGAGCTCACATTCAGGAAGGCCGCTGAGGCCTGCAGCCTGACATGTGAAGACTCACCACTACAACTTAGCGACCACGAAAAGTGGGGGTTTCACATTCAGGAAGGCCTGGTGAAGCCTGCAACCTGATATGTGACAACTCATAACCAGGAAGGCCAATGAAGCCTGAAGCCTGGTGACCACAGAGTGGGAGCAAAGTGCTCAGGAAAGGTGGTGAGGCTGTATTCTGGCTACCGCAGCATGTGGGAGCCCACATTCAGGAAGGCTGGGTGAGGCCTGTAAACTGACTACCACAGTATGTGGGAACTCATAACCAGGAAGGCCTGGTGAAGCCTGTAACCTGGCGACCACAATGTGTGGGAGCTCATAACCAGGAAGGCCTGGTGAGGCCTGTAACCTGGCGACCACAGTATGTGGGAGCTCATAACCAGGAAGGCCTGGTGAGGCCTTTAACCTGGCGAACACAGTATGTGAGAGCTCGTATCCTGGTGACCACAGTATGTGGGAGCTCATAACCAGGAAGGCCTGGTGAAGCCTGTAACCCAGCGACCACAGCATGTGGGAGCTCACAACCAGGAAGGCCTGGTGAGGCCTGTAACCTGGCGACCACAATAAGTGGGAGCTCATAACCAGGAAGGCCTGGTGAGGCCTGTAACCCGGCAACCACAGTATGTGGGAACTATAACCAGGAAGGCCCCTTTGAGGCCTGTAACGTAGCGACCACAATGTGTGGGAGCTCATAACCAGGAAGGCCTATTGAGGCCTGTAACCTGGCGACCACAGTATGTGGGAGCTCATAACCAGGAAGGCCTGGTGAGGCCTGTAACCTGGCGACCACAGTACGTGGGAGCTCATAACCAGGAAGGCCTGGTGAGGCCTGTAACCTGGCGACCACAGTATGTGGGAGCTCATAACCAGGAAGGCCTGGTGAGGCTTGTAACCTGGCGACCACAGTATATGGGAGCTCATAACCAGGAAGGCCTGGTGAAGCCTGTAACCCAGTGACCACAGCATGTGGGAGCTCATAACCAGGAAGGCCTGGTGAGGCCTGTAACCTGGCGACCACAGTACGTGGGAGCTCATAACCAGGAAGGCCTGGTGAGGCCTGTAACCTGGCGACCACAGTATGTGGGAGCTCCCACAGATGTCTCTCCGTGGCCACCATAGCACTGACGGAACAGCAGATTGCTTGGTGGCCCGGAGTCCCGCAGCAGATCAGTCTGGTAGGCCTGAGGACCACAAGGGCGTGCAGAACCGCACCTGCCTGACCTGCTGCCGTGTACGCTCTGTCATTCAAGCATGAAGATGTCTTGAGCAGCTTGGATGACAGGGTCAGAGCTCTTAGTGAAGAGGACCAACCAGAGACGAGATAGTTAGCCAACGTCTCGTCCACTGGCGGCATCGACACATATCCGTGCTCCACGGCTCCCTCCACAGCAGCGAAACTAGCCCGCTGATGCAGATAGAGACGTGAGGAGAACGGATTCTTCCATACCCTCTCAATCCCAGCGTGGAGATCAGAAAGGAATGGAAGGCTCATCCGGGCTGGTGGCTTATGGGTGGGGAGGAACCAGCCATCCAAAATACCATGAGCGGGTTCCTCCCAGACGCGCCTCCACTGCAACTGCAATCTGTCTGTGGCGCGCCCCATAATGTCAACCAGCTCAGCGTACAGTGGGCAGGAGGGCTGAAATGGTTCGGTCTCAACCAAACTGACATCCTTTTCTATATATATATATATATATATATATATATATTACAGCCAACTCCTGCCCTGCCCGAAGAGAACAGTTACAGATTCACCAAAGAGAGAGAGTGCTCATTTTCTCTCTTCTTAGATGTTCAACATTAATCTGTAACTTACCCTCGTCAGCTGGTAGATCATCCGCGAGGTTAACGCCCCTCTCCCGATAATCTGCCAGCTCCGTCTGAAAGCTCCACGAGCTCAACCACCACTGAGCCTCAGCCCGAGCGGGATCCGGAACCGCGGGGTTCAGATGCCGCGCCCACTTCCCTCGAGAAGTGGGTCAGACGAGAGCAGAGAGTTCTGAAAGGAAAACTCTCAGTTCACGCAAAAAACTCCCTCGAGAGCTTCCCGCGAATGCTCTTCTCTCAGGCAGAACACGCACAGATCGTGTGAATCCTCCAGTGTCAAATATCTGGACACAAGTCGGCACACTCGCGCAAAGTGTTTCTCCACGTCTCTGTGCGCTTAATCGTTGATACTATCAAACAGACAAACAGTCCCTGAAGACGAAAAGATGTTGTCACGGTCTCAAGGCGCCCTTCTTATACATCCAGATTGACGCGCTCATCATTCAAGCTGATGATGCACGGGCTGTCGCCGGTCAACCTGATTACTGTGAGTTGATATTTGATTTCAGACACCTGTCACGCCTGAGGCGTTCCCCATTGCGTCATTCGACGTATTGTTGAGTTCCCTTCGAAAGGGAACCATACATTTTCTGTAAAAAACTCCACAGCTGGCAAAGTTCTCGGATGCGTTTCTCTGTACCGTTTCCATTACAGCAGCTATCCACATTATTAGGATTGGATTGGATTGGATTGGATTAGCCTTTATTGTCTCCTAATGGAGAAATTCATCTTTGGCCTTCAGGAAACAGATGCAACACAGTATACATTATACATAACACATAACACACAAACATGAATTACAGATTATATTAATGTTAAAAAAAATGTCACACCCGACATGATTAAACATAATTAATTTCACACTTAAATTCTAACCCACACACCCTAGTTGATCGTTCAGTATTTTAATAGAGAGCGGTACAAAAGAAAATTTAAACCTATTTAATCTGCAGTTTGGTAACCTGTACCTTCTGCCTGAGGGCATCATCTCATACTCACTGCATAGGACATGATTCGGATCGTTGATTATTTTAAAACTATGTTTCTTTACCGCCTCCACAAAAAGCTCATTAAGAGTATTAATACTTACAGACTCTTCGTCCTCCTTATTTTGCAAGATTTGTAAAATGTACCTGGACTGAAAACTGCTTTTAAAAGAAAACCCACCACTTCAGATCGACTTTGCACCGGAGCCATCCTTTTTTGTGTGTGTATGCCTTTTACAGGAATGCGAGATTCGATCTGTTATCCAGATAGAGAAGCCACTTAATGTTTACAGTTATAAAAGCACCATGTCCTGATTGGCTTATGATCTGATCTGCCTGATCGGATCACGGTGATCGTATATGCCAAGTGTAAACGTAGCCATAGATATAGTGCTGGGCGGTTTGACCAAAAATTCATATCATTTTTTTTTTTTTTTTTCAAAATTAAGCCGTATTTATGACAGGTTTTTTAATGATTATTATTTTTTTATGCAAAATCAGGTAAAGCATTTTCTACTGGTTGAGAGAAGAATTACTGCTATAAATTGATTTGGATGGTCTATTTTACTGTCATTAGTGAATATTGTAGAATAGACTAGAGCCCAATATAACCTAAAATTATGATTTATTAACGTTCTTATAACCAGGAAATAATGTTAAAATACAACGTTTATGTAACGAGAGAATTGAACGTTCTAATGATGTTTGAATGATGATCTTATAGCCAAGCAAGCACGTTAATTCAACGCTGATATAATAATGGGAGAACTGAACGTTCTTATAATATTTTGAATAACGTTCTTAATACAACATCTAAAAAAAACTGGACAGAAATAACGTTTTTATAACTTAACGTTATGAAAACGTTCTTATAACCTAAAATTGTTATCTTGGGGAAGAGGTGAGATTGGTGATTGCACTGAACACGTTTTAAGTGCATGATTCTCTGAGCGAGGCCAGAGAAAATAGACCTATTCTTACAAGAGAAGCGTGTATCTGAGAGTGCGCGCAGCACATTATGTTCCACGCGTGAGCATTATATTAATGTACTTTCACGCTACAATAGTGCGCTCTCGACATTTGACAGGAAAATAACGCCATAGTTCTGCGGCATCCATCTTCCCTGTAAAGTAACACCAGAGCACTGCTGTATACCCTCGGCCTAGCCTCGCAGTCGCTGCTGAGAAGTGCAACATTGTAAAGGGTCCATCTAAAACAGTGTCGCGCAGCAAATTAAATACATTGGTATGTTGGGATATAAAACATTAATATCATAACAAAATTATACACCAGTTTTCGGTATAAACTGCTATACTGCCCAGCACTAGATACACTCACCCTGACTCCTAACCTGCTAATTACTAGCTATCAGATCTACTGATATCTGTCTTCGGCCACTCATCAGATCCTCCTCTGTCTTCTCCGTCCCATCTCACCTGCAAGTATCAAAATAATTTTGAATGATGTTCTTATAATAAAATAAATCCAGCCATACCTCACTGCAGTACATTTCCACCTGCCATTCTAGTTTACTGCTTCAGATTCCCCTGCATTGTAAATAAATCTGTTTATATATCACTCCGTTGTCTTTCTCTTCTGTTCAGTGACAGGTACATCATGTTTAAAACATTTGAACAAAAAGAAACATTTGTTTGGGCATATGAACGTTTTGTACTGTTTTGGCATATGAAAAATATGGATACCACTGATCTTCTATTACTTGTTTATAAAAAATCCTAGTGTTGATATTATATTGTTTTTAAGGAGGACATGAGGAGTCTTCCTCCTTGGGAGAAAAAGACAAGCTGATGTTCATGGCCCAGGCAATAAAGGCACTTGAAGAGGAACGAGATTTTCTCCGTCAAACTGTCCTAAAACTCTCAAGTACGAAACATATATCTGTTTTGCTCTATTGACTATTTTATTTAAGAATTTAGTAATTACTGAACAAGTTTAATTTTCAAACTTCCACATCAATCCTGAACTGCTTATCTAACATGTTTGACTTTTTATCTAACTAAATGTGATATTGTGTTCTTAGACAGGGGGGCAAAAAAGAAAGTTAAGAAAATCTTGGACTCGAGCACTGAATGCAGCACCAGTGGCACTGATGAGGAGTCCCTGAGTTCTTGCTCCTCTTTAGAGTCATCTGATAGCGACATTCCTCGGAAGAAGAAAAGAGGTCATAAAAAGAAGACCAAGAGCTCTACCAGGTCAAATACCAAGCACAGCTCACGTGGTAAGTGCATATTCTGTTTTTGTTAATCATCTTTCTGTTGATGTGCATTTACTCCTTGTAACACATGGCAAATATTGGTTATCAGTCTCTATGACTACATCTGGGAAAACCTGTTGGATGTCGCGCTGGTACGTTTTCAGTAAGGTCTAAATATAGATTGAATGTTGGGTTTTTATATTGAATTATTATTCTATAACATCTTGTTTATCATCTCTGAATATATTTTGGGAAAATTCACTAGTTTAGTGCAGAAAAATAGCGATATATAATGTTCAGCTGAAAAGACTGTGTTTCTCTTTGAGAACACGCAGGCGGAGCTGAGGTGCAAAAGACAATATCTCCCGTTTAGCTCTCCTTCTCTTAACACTACAACGACAGTTCGCCTATCAAAATAAACCACAAAACAGAATAAAATCCAGTCCTGGGTGAACTACAACAGCCTGCAAGTTTTTATTTATTTTATCCAGTGTTATCGTGTTGTGCGATGCGGAGCACAAGAGATCAACAGAGTTTTAAGCTGCTCATTTAAAAGACCTTGCTCACCTCTAAATCCAATTCCAAATCTGTTTTCACAGGATCAATTTTGAGTTTGTAAGCTTTCGATTGATACCTAATCTATAATGATTACTAAAATATGTGATATGAAAAAAGGCAATATAAAAGGGAGCGCCAGTCGACCCTCTAGCAGGACATGACAGTTAATTAAACCTGTTTTTCTCAAAAAAAAAAAAAAAAAAAACAGGTTTAATTACCTGTTTTTTTCTTCCGTTTCTGAAAATCATAGCGATCAGCCGACTTCAGATAACCATAACTTTTGTTACAGACAAACGATAAAAGAAGTAATAACAGATTTGGAAAGGGCTTGATCCCAGCTTTAATATGGTCTCAAAACCTGTAATATGTCAAATTTCACCATGTGGTGGGTTTTCCCAGATCGCATCACATATTTAGAAAATGTCTGAGAAATGCAAACGTGATATTTAAGATAGGAAACTAATTGTAAAAAAAAAAAAAATGCTAGCAGTTCAAGACCACCAATATACTGTATATATTATGTTTGTTTTACAATAATATGATTTTACCTGGAAATTGATCAGTTTGATGCAAGTCTTGTTTTTTGGTTTTGGTTTGTCTTAATAAAGGAAGTTTTAATCTTTTTACAGCAACAACCCCAGAAGATGTACTGAAGCGGTACAATAAAGTTTTTCACGCCTTCAAGAAAGAAGGGAGTATCAGTAAGGCATGCACCAAAGTTGGGGTTGATCGAAATACACTGGCATTAACAGCTGTTGTGGCTGAAATACAGCTTGTTGATCCAGAGTTTTACCGAAGCATCCCAAAGTTCAGATTAAAGGATGAGAAACTCTGCGACTTTGCAAAGCGGTGCCTGCAGTCAATGACAGCAGACCTCAAGTCTACCATAGAAAATGCAAAAAAAGAGCGTAAACTGCTGCCAATAACATACAAGCTCAGATAGAAAGACAAAGTTAGTCCGGAGCCCTGTGTAATGTTCCTTATAGCTGCTCTGAAATGGTAACTTGAGTTTGATTTGACAATTTTGGTCATTGTATACAATGCTGTTCTAGTGTTAACCCAGCTGCAGGTACACTGAAGTTTTACTTGAAAATCTGGTAAACTGTTCTGTAATGTGTTAAATAAACATTATTCAGCTTTATTACATTGTTTTTCTCTTCTTCTTTTTTTTTTGGCAGTCATCTATATTTTTTTTTTACTGAGAAGTAATCAAGGTTTAATACTTGGACATTTTTCCCAAACAACTATTAAAATACATTCAAGTGGACAATTCCAATGGAATTAACATGTAACATTTCATAATTCGGAAGTTCCCTTGAAATCATGTAACGACACTGATGGTACACAACAATGACCCTAACCATTGGACTTCATATTAAATGGACAGTTTCTGCAGTGTTAACATTTAAGTACACTGTTAATACAATGTTGTACAAAGGTTTTGGTTTTTATTGTACACAGTAAGTTATGACAGTTTAACACATCAAGTGCAGATTTCCTAAAGGACTTACCATGTAAGTACACTGTTAATACAGTGTTGCACAGAGGTTTGGGTTTTGTATATTACTTGTAATGTTATAGCCATTTTACACTTTACATTAGGTAGACAGTTCCTGAGGAATTACCATGTAAGTACACTGTTAATACAGTGTTGTACAGAGGTTTCTGTTTTTTTTATTATACACAGTAAGTTATGATAGTTTTACACTTTATATTAAGTGTACAGTTCCTAAGGAGTTACCATGCAAGTACACAGTTAATACAGTGTTGTACAGAGGTTCGGGTTTTTTTTTTTTATTATACACAGTAAATTATGGCCGTTTTACACTTTATATTAAGTAGACAGTTCCTGCGGAGTTACCATGCAAGTACACTGTTAATACAGTGTTGTACAGAGGTTTGGGTTTTTTTTTTATTATACACAGTAAATTATGGCCGTTTTACACTTTATATTAAGTAGACAGTTCCTAAGGAGTTACCATGTAAGTACACAGTTAATACAGTGTTGTACAGAGGTTCGGGTTTTGTATATTACTCGTTAAGTTATGACCGTTTTACACTTTATATTAAGTAAACAGTTCCTGCGGAGTTACCATGTAAGTACGCTGTTAATACAGTGTTGTACAGAGGTTGTTTTTTTTTTATTATTATTATACAGAGTAAGTTATGATAGTTTAACACATTGTATAAGTGCAGAGTTACTGAGGAGTTATCATGTAAGTACACTGTTAATACAGTGTTGTACAGCTGTAGCTAGAGGTTTGGGTTTTGTATATTACTCGTTAAGTTATGACCGTTTTACACTTTATATTAAGTAGACAGTTCCCGAGGAATTACCATGTAAGTACACTGTTAACCCTTTCACACGTAAGTTTAAAATATTCTAACTGACCCCCCAGCGTGAGTTTTTCAAGGCGACCGTTATTTAGAACTTGCCACTTTAATGTTTCCATGGTGACGCGTCATTGCTTGTCACGTGACACAGCACAACCAGAACAGAGCGCGGAATGAATGATGATCTGCTTTTATGTCATTTTTCCTTTTTTATTAAAAATATTCAAAAATGTAAAGCTATATCATGAAACACTGATATTCCGATTGTCAAATATGTGCAAGTGGATGGGTTTTGTTGTTTAGACATCTTTATAACGATCGCGTTAGTTGAGCTGTATGCACAACGGGCGGCGCCATTTTAGTTTCGTTTTCAGTTCAGAGAATCGGATCTGTTGGATTTTTAACGTCAATTCATCCACTTCTCACGAAATACATGATAGTAAGTGGCTGGTGAACTGGGAGAAGAATAGGATCAAATGTTAAGCTACTTACACAATGTGTATCTGATATGAATAAAATGTGTCGTCTTATTATAATTGAAAGGATTATTATTGCCGCTTCCATAGACATCTGTATGTATTTTACAAACTCAAAATCATTGTTTTGCTAGTACATATGTGTATTTAAATGTCTGAAACCTAAAATAAACATTATGTGGTTGAAAACACTCAATAGTTGTGATATATGACAGCACTGAGTGCGTCTGTCTCTGGCTGAGCGCCACCCAACGCGCGAGAGCAAGTTTGAATTTAGCAGTTGCTGACGTGTGCACTGAACGTTCTAATCACACCGGTGTGATCGTACGCTCCAGGGACCAGCCAAGACTGATCACACCGGTGTGATCGTACGCGTGAAAGGGTTAATACAGTGTTGTACAGAGGTTTTTTTTTTATTATACACAGTAAGTTATGATAGTTTAACGCATTGTATCAAGTGCAGAGTTACTGAGGAGTTACCGTGTTACACTGATACCACAAGGGGAAACTTTAGCTGTAATTCAGCGCGAGACATACAGTAAATACATGGTATACACATAGGAATCATCATGATTTCAGTGGAGTTTCAGTGCCTTCCAAACTAGTAACTACAGTATTGAAGACTGTGTGGAAGTGGAAGAATGTGTGTAAATGCATATTGTTGTTACAAAATGTAGTTACAAAATGCCTGTTACACATGTGTACTTACTCCAGTGAAAAAAGTGTTGTTACCAATGTCCTGTTACACATTTGTACTTACCCATACATTTCAGTGTGTTATTACATATGTGTAGTTACACACATACTACATCTGTAAATACTATGTACCAATATGTATTTACACTGTACTTACATACTTAGTACATATGTAGTAACCATGTAATTTCACAGGTATTAGGGCCACTTAATATAAAGTGGGACCAAATTATTTTATATTAAAACTACTCTGCTTGAAAGGGTTGCATCCTATAAATATCTTGGAATCTGGCTGGATGATAAATTCACATTTGATACTCATATTGATAATCTTTTAAAGAAACTGAGACCAAGATTAGGGTTTTATTTTCGTTTGAAAAAAAAAGGTTTTTTCCTTTGCTGCTCGAAAACGATTAGTGGAAAATACCTTTTTGTCAGTATTAGACTATGGTGATATAATATACTGTATATGCATGTGCCTTTAAATACTAGATGGGTATTAGATATTAGATGAATATATAGATATTAGATGCTGTTTATCATGCTGCATTACGATTTATGACTGGTTCAAGTGTGTGTACACATCATTGTAACTTTTTAATTGACAAACTGGACTTCACTGAATTTGAAGAGGAAATATCATATGTTAATCTTTATATTAAAAGCTTTACGGGGTTAATTACCATACTGTATCTAGTTTATTGACTTATTGTACTAGTAATTATAACACTAGGTCAACAGCCAAACTTTTACTTAAGATTGCAACTTTCCATACAGAGTTAGGTAGATCAGCCTTTTCTAATTATGCCCCTTATGTATGGAACGAACTACAGGGTATACAGTATCATACATGAAATGTCTACCATCTTTAGCTTCATTTAAAACCCTTTTAAAGTCTGTTCTTATTGAACGGTGTAAATGTTTTAACAGTTTATTAGGATTAATATTGCTTTTCAGATATGTGATATCTTGTTTTTATTTTTTTATTTACGTTGTGTCTTATTACTTTGTATTCTTGTTTGTGCTGCCTATCTTGACCAGGACTCCCTGGTAGAAGAGATGTATCTCAATGGGACCTTCCTGGTAAAATAAAATAAAATAAAATAAAATTAAATTATAAATATATTCGCCCCCAGGAAGTGATATTAGCTTCTTCCAGAGAATGAAGAATTTCTAGTATCATGACAATGGAAACAAAAGGTTTTCTGATTTGTGGCGGAGATTTAAATATACATTTAAAACCAAAATTAGACTCCTCTAGTGGAAACAACCATGACAAGGGGTCTCTACATAAGAAAGTTAATGCACTTTTTGAAGAGGTTGGTCTAATTGATATATGGAGAGATTTCTTTCCTAACAGAAGAGACTATACAAATTACTCTGCTCCCCATTCTCTATACACCAGAATAGACTGTTTTATAACATTTGGAAAAGATAAAGACAAGATACATTCTTGTGAAATCGGTACAATAGATATAAGTGACCATGCACTGATAGATTTATCCATTGATTTTGACCTACAACCAAAAAATAATACATGGAAATTAAACTCAAGTCTATTTAATGATCCTGGTTTTAAAGAAAAAAAATAAATAAAAAAGAGATGAATATCTATCTAGAATTTAATGACAATGCACCATGGTGAGGTTTCTCCTCCTATCCTATGGGATACTTTGAAGGCTGTCCTCAGAGGTAAAATCATAGCAATATCTTCATATAAGAAAAAAATGAGAAATCTTTCTCATATGAGAAAGACACAAATTAAGTTTAGTGAACGATATACTTGATGAAATAAAAAAAATAGGGACAAGATGAAGAATTTAGCTATACAAGAAGTAAAGAAGAATCTGTTTCTAAAACAGAGATATTATGAAGGGGATCTAATAATAATAATAATAATTCATTACATTTATATAATAATAATAATAATAATAATTCATTACATTTATATAGCGCTTTTTTTTCTGGAAACTCAAAGCGCTTCACATAGAGGGGGGGGGATCTCCTCAACCACCACCAATGTGCAGCATCCACCTGGATGATGCGACGGCAGCCATATTGCGCCAGAACGCTCACCACACACCAGCTTACTGGTGGAGAGGAGACAGTGATGAAGCCAATTGGTGTATATGGGGATGATTAGGAGGCCATGATGGACAGAAGCCACTGGGCAAATTTGGCCAGGATGCCGGGGTTACACCCCTACTCTTACGAAAGACATCCTGGGATTTTTTATGACCACAGAGAGTCAGGACCTAGGTTTAACGTCACATCCGAAGGACGGTGCGCTTTTGACAGCATAGTGTCCCCATCACTTTACTGGGGTGTTAGGACCCACACAGACCACAGGGTGAGCACCCCCTGCTGGCCTCACTAACACCTCTACCAGCAGCAACCTGGTTTTCTCAGAAGGTCTCCCATCCAGGTACTAACCAGGCTCAGCCCTGCTTAGCTTTAGTGGGCAACCAGTCTTGGGCTACAGGGTGATATGGCTGCTGGTAATATAGTGCTTTTCTCAGCACTCAAAGCACTTTACATAGAGAGGGGAATCTCCTCAACCAATGCAATGAGAATATTGGCATGGAAGCTGAGGAAGAAAACTGCAGAAAATACAATTCATAGAAT